CCCTCCCCTCCCCTCCCCTCCCCTCCCCATTCTGGCTCCACTGCTTTGCACAACACCCTGCCCGGCGGGTCGGTTTGTGTGTTACACAGGGCTGCAGACAGAGGGAGGGGGGAGCAGGGGAGGGCTCTGGCTGCTGGAGGCCAATAGGAGCGGCTCAATTGGCCCAGCTGCCCAATCAGCAGCTGCACTCTGCATGGTAGGGAGGAAGGCGAGGGAGAAAAAAAACCCGGACATTTTAATCTTGTTACCAATTCCTCCTGGACAGCTATTTAGAGACGCAAAAGCCAGACATGTCCGGGGAAATATGGATGGATGGTAACCCTAGTAGAAACCCTTCTTGTTACTCTTAACATTCCTTGCTAACTGCAACTCCAAGTCTGATTTGGCCTTCCTGATTTCACTCCTGCATGCATGAGCAGTATTTTTATACTCCTCCCTGGTCATTTGTCCAATCTTCCACTTCTTTTAAGCGTTTTAAGATCAGCAAGGATTTCACTGTTAAGCCAAGCTGGTCGCCTGTCATATTTAGAATCCTAGAATATCAGGGTTGGAAGGGACCTCAGAGGTCATCTAGTCCAACCCCCTGCTCAAAGGGGGACCAATCCCCAAACAGATTTTTGCCCCAAATGGCCCCCTCAAGGATTGAACTGACAATTCTGGGTTTAGAAGGTCAATGCTCAAACCACTGAGCTAACCCTCCCCAGTATTCTTTCTACACATTGGGATGGTTTGTTCCTGCAACCTCAATAAGGATTCTTTAAAATACAGCCAGCTCTCTCTTGACGTTTTTACAAAAGCACATGGGACAGTGTTCACAAGCACTCCTATACACACCTAGCTACATACCGCCTTTGGGGGCCTAATCCAAAGCTGAAGTCTCTGGGAGTTTCCCACTTGCTTCAGTCAGTTTTGGTTCAGGCCTTCAGTGAGCAAGGCCCCAGGGGAGGAAAATAAGAGAGCAAATAATACACAAGAGAAGGCTGAATGAAAAGGAAGGGAGAGAGGCAATTGGCAGGAAATAGACTAATTTCATGTGTTTGTGCCCTGGTTGTCCTCTAAGGCAAAGCACTATCACAATATAAGTGTGCCAGAGAATGAGACAGGAGAGTGAATCCATTGCAGCACTGGACTCCAGCAGTAAAGTGCACTGCACTGAAATGATCTCAAGCATCATGCGTCACCTTTCTTTGTCACAGTAAAATGGGATCATACTTCCCTTCCTCACAAAGATGTGGTGAGGGTTAATTAACAGGGTGGATAAAAATCAATGATTTAAAAAAAATGGATTTTTTTTTTATTTAAATCAGATTTTTCTGATAAAATGCTTTGAGGAAAAAACCTATCTAAAGATAGTTTTAATTAAGATACATTATAACTCAAAGATATCTCATCATGGAATAGGGATTATAAATTCTAATTCTATAATATGAGACAATATATTTATGTAATGTTTAAGAAAAATTTTGTAAATGAGTTCCGATAGTTCATGGATTAGGGACCCAATCTTATGGGGTTTCAGGGGCTTCTGTATATATTATATAGGTTAATATTTCTATCTACCCAATGGGACTCAGTGCTCAGTCTAGAAGATGCCATCAGAGTTGCTTAGTTTTGCAGTTCTCAAACTGGATTTGTGTCTCCAGAGATAACGTGCTTGTTAACAGCAAAAATGTTTTAAATAAATAAATAATATATAGAGGTGAGAAATAACAGACCTCAACTCTATTGTCCATTTGCAAATTTGTGTACACAGAGTTATTCCCTTACCTCTCTAAAAGTGCAAAGTTTCAAAAAGTTCAATGAATAGAAGATTGTTGGGGACAGAATAGATCTGGACAAGGAGAAGAAGTCTGGAGATAAATGTGAGAAGCAAGGGACATGTGCTTGTTTTGTTAAAATATTATATGTTTGCTGTTGAAGAAAAAAATCCAGACTACTTAACGTTGTTTTAGTTAAATGTCTGTCTCGTGATGTTCTCCTAATACAGCATGGCAAGAAAATCCTCCAAATATTAATGATTAACCTGTTGAATTGGGATAGTTCACCTCCCAATGACTTCATAAATAACTGCTTCAATTACCTTTGGTAAACGAAATAACCAAACAATCATTCATTTTCTGATACAGTATAGCTATAAAACTAATCAGAAAAGTTTTCAAAATAAATCACTGTTTAAAATGTATAGTTGTACCTTCTAAAAATGAAACCTACATCTCTCTATCTCTGAGTTGTGAAGAATATGTATGAAGGTTATAACAACGAACAAGAATGCACTTTTATGTAGAAAACCATGATTAAATCGAGTCTTCCTGACTAGTGATTTAAATCAAATCCACCCTGTTAATTAATGTTCATAAAGCTTTCTGGGGTCCTTGGTTGGAAGGTGATAGAGAAGTACAAAGTAGTATTACTTTGTCTGGAACGCCTAGTAACTGATGAACTTCACTCTGCAATGGACCAGTATCATATAGTCATCCCTCAAGAATAAACTGGTGGAAACCCCAAAGCAGAAATTCACAGGAGAACTTAAACCTCTATTATTCATCCTTCCCGAATATTGAAAGAAATTCTGCCTGTTTGAATGGAGGTGGGAACATGGTCCCACCCAATTCGACCACACACTGAAAATTGGTCTCAGAATTGGAAGAGAAGGATGGGACTGAGAACAGAGGGTGGCATAATCCACACTCTTAAGCAGTGTCTTTTTTTCCCCCCCCAAAAATTGATATTTTTAATACAAAAAGCAGAAGAAGATTTCAAAATGAGAAAGCTTTTTTTTTTAAACTAAACCTTTACTAAGAATCTTTTAGAGAAGCTTTTACTTGTTTTTACCATACTGCTCTTTCAAACATAACTCCTTTCTTTTAAAAGTTGACATGGTTCCAAGATATCCAGATGAATATTCAAGTAGGATCTAGAGCTATTTGTATCAGAGTTATTGTTGTTCTAGCTAGCACTGATTGTATATTTGTAAACATGTTTGCCTTGAGTAGGCAAAGGTTTTTGCTTCCCTTTAATGGGGGAAAGAATAGCTTTCATGGGCAAGGTATCTAGCTTAGGCATTTCAAAATATTTTTAATGCAACTTATTGTTGAGAGTGAACTTGTCTGTAAATGTTAATTTCCTGAAACACTCTGATTCTTGGAGAGGGGAGTCGTTTGTTTTAGCTGTACTAGGGAAACTGCACATTGGAATGTGTTTAGAATCTACACTGGGCTGATTTTTGAATGTACTGGTTAAACGTGGATTAAGAACATGCTGTGGTTTGAAAATGGGATTAAAATATTTTAAACAAAAATCTGCATCTCTGAACTTGCTTGTAGTGGGAAGCATCTTCATAGCAACACAGAGCAACCTGAATTTCTTTGCCCTGAAGAGGATGGGAAATGGTTTGTCACAAGAAACTGCTAAACATTCTTTTCTTTCTCTTCCAGGAAAAAGTACGAGTCACCTAATGCCCAAATAAGGTCTTTTGTCTTTCTGCAAAAACATTCTCTGCAGCCATGGATGAATATAGCCGCTTTGTGGACTGGGACAAGATGGATGCCACAATCCAGACACAGGACTCAAAGGAGCTAATCTGCACAGATTTCCAGGAGTTCAAACAGCTTGCCCGACAGGGCTGTTGGGCCAAGAATCACTCTTTGAGAGCCAAAGTATACCTGAAGCTAATTGGCAACATCCCATGCCGCACAGTGACACCAGATGCAAACGTGTACCGGGATATTGTTGTGAAGATCATTGGCAAGCGTAACACTGGCACCCTCCCGTTGCCAGAGTTTGTGGATAACAATCTGGTGCCCAATTATTGTTTGAATGCCGAGGGCATTGGGGCAGTCAGAAAGATAATCTGCTGCATTGCAAATCAGTTCCCTGACATATCATTCTGCCCAGCGCTGCCTTCTGTGGTGGCTCTGCTCCTCCACTACAGCAGGGATGAGGCAGAGTGCTTCGAGATGGTTTGTCGCATCCTTGCCTGCAATGACCCATCCAAGCGGCTCATTGATCAGACATTCCTGGCATTCGAGTCCTCCTGTATGACTTTTGGTGACCTGGTTAACAAGTACTGCCAGGCAGCACACAAGCTGATGGTGGCAGTGTCTGAGGACGTTCTGGAGGTGTACTCTGACTGGCAGAGGTGGCTCTTTGGAGAGCTGCCCTTGGTGTATGTTGCTCGGGTCTTCGATGTGTTCCTAGTGGAGGGCTACAAGGTGCTCTATCGGATTGCACTAGCCCTTCTCAAAGTCTTCCACAAAGTGAGAGCCGGGCAGCCCATGGAGTCGGACAATATGCAGCAAGACATTCGAGCTTTTGTTAGGGACATTGCCAAGTCAGTGTCTCCTGAGAAGCTGCTGGAGAAAGCCTTTGCCATACGGCTTTTTTCCCGGAAGGAGATCCAGCTTCTGCATATGGCCAATGAGAAAGCCCTACAGCAGAAAGGCATCACAGTCAAACAGAAGAGGTAAGGCCCCCAGATGCTCTATTTACTTAGCCCTGCCCAACAAAACCAACAGGCTCTTTCTCTCTAGTGAGGGGGACAGCCAACTCTGCAAGGTCGGTTAGGAGGCTGAATGCTCTGATAGCACATCATGTTAACTTTATCCCAGAGGCGTCATTCTTCTGGGGACATGACTACATTTGGGGCTGCAGCTATGTAAACCTGGCTTCCATCTTTGTACTAAATTGTCTGAATGTTGCTGAAATTATAACAGGATGTATAATCTATCTGTTATGCCATTATTGAAATGAAGCAATTTTGACAGTTTGTTATCACAGGATCAAACTTCTAACTATTGACATAGGCTAGGTCTACACTGGGGGGGGCGCGACCTAAGATACGCAACTTCAGCTACGCATCTTAGGTCGATTTACCTGGCCGTGAGGACGACTGCCGCTCCCCCGCCAACTCCGCTTCCGCCTCTCGCCGCGGTGGAGTTCCGGAGTCGACGGCAGAGTCGGGGATTGATTTTTATCATGTCTACACTAGATGCGATAAATCGATCCCCGATAGATTGATCACTACCTGCCGATCCGGCGGGTAGTGTAGACATACCCATAGTCAGATGTTCACTACAAATATTAAGACGTGCACATTTTTCTGGCTTTTTTTTTTTTAAGTTAAAACAAAGTGAACCAAAAAAACCAGTCCTGAGAACAAAGCTATTTTGGGAGGGACAGCATCTAAACAAATGTGAAAATTCAATTTTTTCTATTATTTTTATATAAACAGTGGTTTCAGTGTGTGTTCTGAAATTGCAGCATTGAACACCAATGTAATGTAACAGAAGCAAACAGTATCTGAAAGTGGGAATGTTCTGCTTAATAGTGCAGTTAAGACATATTTAGTTTTTCTTTCTTTCAGTAGAGTTGAGAGTATTTAAACTGTAATGGACCTTTATTTACAAGTGATATTTGAAAAGGAGCTTTACAGTCAAAAAGCCTATTATAAAAAAATCTCAGGACACTTTGTAAGGTTCACAGGTAGAGTCTTAGTCTGTTCAGATGTGCACCTGTCTATCACTAATTACAAATGAGTGATTTGAAATAAACCAGTCACAGACAGAATGGCTATAGGCTGGGACAAAAGATGAACCTATAGAACATGCTTTCTCATCAGATACGGGAAAGAGTCAACCAGGAAACTTGCAAACTGATCAGATTATCTATCTAACCAGGCTAGACTATATGATACGCTGCTTCAGAATGGTGAAGAAATACAGAGCAGTACCAGCTTCCTTATCTGAGAAAGTGCCTCATGCATATACAACAGGTGCAATAAAGAATTCCTGGGAGTACAGCTTCATGCCTCACTTTCCTAGGCAGCTATCTCAATGTTTGATATATTTATATTAAACCCAACAAGATAAGACTTGGGTAAGTGGTGTATGATATAAAAACATATTTAGATAAACTTTAAACAGATCCTGAAATTCTACAGTGACAGTAACATTTTTCTCCCAAGGCCAACTGTTTGGAGGAAATCTCTCTTAAATGCTGTTATTTCCAAATCTAAAGGTTTGGAGAGTTCAGCAATAGCTTAACTAACCCTTCTGTCCTCCACAAGGAAAACGCTCCATAGAAACCTGTGAGCATAGTATCTGGAATGTGTAATCCGGAGAGATGCTCTTCCACACTCTTCTTCTAAATTGTGGGATCAGGAGGTACACATAACTAATGTATCTTCTCACAGCCACTTATGTAGAACAATGAGCTTGAGTCGGTACCCTTGAAGAACCTGTATTTGTGATTACTGAAACATATTCTTGGAAAATAGAAAGGACGACAAACAAGAATTTGAAGAACAGCTCGCCAAAGACTCAAAGTAATAGCAAAACATTTTTTAAGTACAACAGAAGCAGGAAGCCTGCTAAACAACCAGTGGGGCCACTGGACGATCAAGATGCTAAAAGAGCACTCAAGGACGATAAGGCGGTTGCGGAGAAACTAAATTAATTCTTTGCATTGGTCTTCATGGCAGAGGATGTGAGGGAGATTCCCAAATCTGAGCCATTCTTTTTAGGTGACATTAGAGGAGGTTTTGGAACAAATTGATAAATTAAACAGTAATAAGTCAACAGGACCAGATGGTATTCACCCAAGAGTTCTGAAGGAACTCAAATGTGAAATTGCAGAACTACTAACTGTAGTCTGTAACCTATCATTTAAATCAGCTTCTGTACCAAATGACAGGAATCCTGCTATTCAGGTAATGTGATGCCAATTTTTAAAAAGGGCTCCAAAGGTGATCCTGGCAATTACAGGCCAGTAAAGCTGACTTCAGTACTGGGCAAACTGGTTGAAACTATAGTAAAGAACAATATTGTCAGACGTATAGACGAACATAATTTGTTGGAGAAGAGTCAACATGGTTTTTGTAAAGGGAAATCATGCCTCACCAATCTACTAGAATTCTTTGATGGGGTCAACAAGCATGCAGACAAGGGGGATCCAGTGGATATAATGTACTTAGATTTTCAGAAAGCCTTTGACAAGGTCCCTCACCAAAGGCTCTAAAGCAAAGTAAGCGGTCATGGGATAAGAGGGAATCTCATGGATTGGTAACTGGTTAAAAGATAGGAAACAAAGGGTAGGAATAAATGGTCAGTTTTCAAAATGGAGAGGGGTAAATAGTGGTGTCCCCCAGAGGTCTGTACTGGGACCAGTCCTATTCAACATTTTCATAAATGATCTGAAAAAGGGGCTAAGAAGTGAGGTGGCAAAATTTGCAGATAATACAAAACTACTCAAGATAGTTACATCCCAAAAGCTACAAAAGGATCTCTCAAAACTGGGTGACGGGGCAACAAAATGGCAGATGAAATTTAATGTTGATAAATGCAAAGTAATGCACGTTGGAAAACATAATCCCAACTATATATATAAAATGATGGAGTCTAAATTAGTTGTTACCACTCAAGAAAGAGATCTTGAAGTCATTGTGGATAGTTCTCTGAAAACATCCACTCAATGTGCAGCATCGGTCAAAAACCGAACAGAATGTTGGGAATCATTAAGAAAAGGATAGATAATAAGACAGAAAATATCATATTGACTCTCTCTAAATCCATGGTACGCCCACATATTGAATACTGCATGCAGATGTGGTCACCCCATCTCAAAAAAGATATATTGGAATTGGAAAGGGTTCAGAAAAGGGCAACAAAAATGATTGGGGGTATGGAACGGCTTCCATGTGAGGAGAGATTAATAAGACTGGGACTAGTCTCTTTTCCAAACTGAAGACTCGGGGGGGTGGGGGGAGAGAGGGGGTAAGGGTAGGGTATGATTGAGGTCTATAAAATCATGACTGGGGTAGAGAAAGTAAATAAGAAAGTGCTATGTACGCCTTCTCGTAACACAAGAACTAGGGGTCACCCAATGAAATTAATAGGCAGCAGGTTTAAAACAAAAGGAAGTATTTTTTTCACATAATGTACAGTCAATCTGTGGAACTCTTTGCCAGAGGATGTTGTGAAGGCCAAGACTATAACAGAGTTCAAAAAATAACTAGATAAGTTCATGGAGGATAGGTCCATCAATGGCTATTAGCCAGGATGGGCAGGGATGGTGTCCCTAGCCTCTGTTTGCCAGAAGCTGGGAATGGGCGACGGACGGATCACTTGATGATTACCTGTTCTTTTCATTCCCTCTGGGGCACTTGGCACTGGCCACTGTCGGAAGACAGGATTTACTGGGCTATATGGATCTTTGGTTTCACCCAGTATGGCCGTTCTTATGTCATATGTTGGCCTATGAAATAACACTAGCCTTGATGGTGCTCTTATATGCAGCTATTCATCTCTTCGTAAGGCGGATATTCCTCTCCAGCTGCTTGTTCCCAGAATCCTACATCCTGTTAACATCCTTTCTGTATTTCTCTTGCAGACCTTGATGTGTGGCCTTTTCATGTTGGTCAGACCTAAAGAATCAGAACCTTCCCTTGTCAGGCAATCTAAGCATACCTTTCAAGGCTTCTGTCTACGGGAGTGTTGGTTAGAAACTTTGAACAGGGAGGCTTTAGTAGTTACTAGGGCCTCCAGACCACTGTTTTTTGAGGAAGCACTAAGTATGTGACAGTCAGGTATATCACTGGCTTCCTCCTAGTTGGGGAAGGACAAAAGAGTTAAGACAGCCGGTGTGTATGTTCTTCAGAGAGAGAGAGAGTGTGTGTGTGTTAGGGAGTGAAGAAGCCAAGAGCTGCTACTCGGCTAAGAAATGACTTATCAGTAGCCAGCTAGAGCAACAAAGGTGCAGTCTTAGATTTCTTCCAAGCAAGGTTCAGTACTGTCATCGCCAGGTGAGAGCAACAAGCAGAGTCACTGGCTAATGAAAAGTTTTCACCCTTTCTGTGCCATTTGCTGGAACGTACCATAATCTCTGATGATCTCCGGAAGAGAGACTGTGGAGTAGGTTTGACGCAGGATGTTAGGTAGGCAAAAGCAGGTGCAACAGAAGCTCTCTCTCTCAAGTCTTTGAGAGAACTCAGATTCCCTTATCCAAACTTGCTTGATAGTGAGTGAGCCACACATCAGATATGAGTTGTTCCCCTAATATCCTGATAGATCTAACCACACAGCAGGAAGGAAACGGACTGAGGGTTGACGGGAGAACAGGAGAACTGATGCTAAATGAGGAATATTGTTAACCTGTCATCCTCTTTTTTCTTTTTCGGGCATTGTTTGATTCAAACCTTATTCTGTGTTTCTCCCTAGGCTCCTTCCATGCATTTTGCTGGGGTTGTAGGAAATCACTGACCTCTTTTCCTGTCTTTTTTTATGTCTTCTCCTTGTGCGTTCTCCTTCTGTCAATTCCATAGCCGCTGCACTCCTCCTGTTTGCAGTGTTTCATCTTCTAAAAGGTAGGTTAAAAAACTTTGAATGTTTGTGCTTTGCTCGTTTCTTCTGTCTTTGCTTGGCTGCGTTCTTCTGTCATCCCCGCTATGCTAGGGCGGTAGCAGCAGTGCTGATTGCAGCAACAAACAGCAAGGTAAATAGTTCCTGAAGATGCCCTTGCAAAACTAGTTCAAAGTAACCTATAAAGGTGTTCAAATGAGAGTTCATGAGACCATCCCACTGACCTAGCATTATTGTTCTGCACAGCCACACAGGAGGCCTAGATTTCATTCGTAAATGTGGGTTGTCATCTTGGGATGGAAATTCTCATGTTGGTGATTGGACTCCTTATACCTTGTCTGCACTTGAAAAAATGTACCATGTTAGAAAACGTATTAACTGAACGTGTTTTTACAGCACCTAGCCATGACTGGGACTACTGCAATACAATAAAACTAAACTAATCTGTCATAACTTACATGATAAACCTGGTTTTCCTCTTAGTATGGTCATAGACATTCATGTTTAAAAACATGCTATGTGGTCATTGTTAACCCTAGCAGGGAAAACATTTTAAAACATGACTTGTCCATGCCTACACTAGGTGCTAAGTCACTTAGTGCACTTTCATCCATGTCCAAGTTCTGAATGATTTTGAAAAAGTCATGGATTTAAAAACTTCCACAGGCCCTCAGAGATTTCAGACCCCATACAAGATCTTGAGAAATAGAAAAGGTGATTCAGTGACTACTTACACTTTGTATATATTCCAAAGTAATTAATGAACATAATGATTCAAGGTATCTGCACTGGCTGTTGCTGATACATGAAATGCAAGCTAGCTTGATCTTGCTGAGCTTTGGTGGCCTTGAAGCACTTCAGTGTTAGTGATGAATCTGTATGAGAACCCACATTCCCACCAAAACAGTAAATAAGCAAACAAATTTGTAAATATTTGAATATGCTACACTTTCAGTATGGTAATTAAGAAGTAAGAGTCCTTCTTTCTGTAATTTAAACACATTAAATAGAAAATTGCAATGCAGATTCCAGCAAACAAACTAACGTGAAGGATAAAAAGAACTCTAATGAAGGATAGAAATCTTTAATTGGTAAATGGCTGCAGCTTTGCAGTGTGAGCTCCAACTAATGGCTATTACAATTGCATGGTTAATTCATCTTCAGTAGGCTTTCTCAATAAACTACTGGTTCTTCCTAGATGATAATGAGAAACTTCTTCTAGTGATGCAGTACTCACTCAGAACGCATAATTCTTCTTCGAATGCTTGCTCATATCGATTCCAATTAGGTGTGTGCACGCGTGTGCATGGCCTTCGGAGAACTTTTACCCTAGCAACACCCAGTGGTAGGGTTACCATACGTCCGGTTTTTCCCGGACATGTCTGGCTTTTCAGCAATCAAACCCCCGTCCGGGGGGAATTGCCGAAAAGCCACACATGTCCGGGAAAATGGCCGGCACTTCCTCTCCCCCTGTGGCTCTGCTCCACTCCTCCTCTCTCAGATTTACAGAGCCAAGCTGCCAGAGCCAGCGCTACTGGCTTCGGGCAGTCCCCCCTGCCTCCGGACCCCGAGCCCCCAGCCAGGCACTTCTCCTACCCGGCTCCAGCTGAGCTGCTCCCGCGGTGCAAGGTCCAGAGGCAGGGGGGGGGCTGCCCGAAGCCAGTAGCGCTGGCTCGGGGAGCCTGGGCCTGTAAAACTGCGGGGGGGGGGG